TTTATACAGGTTTGAATATGATTTTGTATATTATTTTCCTTAATATAGCATAATTATTGAAGTAATTTCTGTGTTTAAAATTCAATTAAAATTTAAAAATCACATTAAAAATTTGGTAAAAATTTGGTTAAAATTAAAAGACTTCTCTCTGGAAAATTCTTCCTTCTCCACTTTGAACACTATCAAGATTTTCCACCCACATGTAATCTGTTTGGGCAAATGTAATTAGCTGTGAATGATTCAGTACAGGAAAAATAAGTATTGATGATGGATCATATTTGTATTTAGCCTACCAAGCAAAAATGTAAGTATTAAACTTGAACTTTTTAAAAGGATGTGCTGAATATTATACAATATAAAAATTTTAAAGTTCTAGAACAATGACTCTCTGAAAGGGGGCGATTTTCTCTCTAGGGCACATTTAGCCAAGTCTAGAGTACATTTTGGGTTTTACACTTGGATGGTAGGGGAAACGGAGTGGCAGTTATTTCCTAGAGGACAGCGAAGCTGTTAAATCTCCTACAGTGCACTGGTCAGCCTGCACAATAAAGATTTATCTGATCAATAGCAGCACCAAGGTTGAAAAACCCTAACCAAGAGAAAGGTACCCAAGAGGCAAAGTGCCCTTTTCCTTATAAAAATATTTCTCTCCTAACAATGAAGATAATGATGGGTAACATTTGCTTTTGGAAAGGAGTACCCTATCAGTAATGAGACAGACTCTCTTGCCGCAGTCTGGCTGGGCACAAAATAACTGAGCCACCACACCGCCTTGTAGATTCAAACAGCAAGTCTTTATTCCCGACTCTCACCGACACTCTACACGCACATTCTGGGAAAAAATCCACTGCCTCTACCCGGCTCCCGCGCACCAATTCTCTGAATCCCGCAAGAACTCAACGGGAACTCAAGGAGCAGGCGCCTGAGGCAGCAGGATACGCCCTATTCCCAGCAGGATCCACCCTAAACCGGATCCACCCTAATCCAGCAGGATCTACACTAAACCTAGAGCCACCCTAATCCCTGAGCAGGGTCACCTTTCAATTAAAAATGCCACGTCATTCCTACTTGGCTATGGCTCTCAGCATCTCCCCCCTTCTGATTAATTAAACAACAAGCATGTGGCTTAGGGACCGTGCCTGTTAGGTTGTCCAATACAACATATGGTCCTTACCCGTCATCAGATGAGCTGACCTCTAGGCGTCAGCCTCCTGTCTTAGGTTGGTACCACTGCAATTGGATCATACCTGTCACTGACTACCGGTCCAGCATACAGCCATACTTGTGGATAGGCCTATGCACCAGTGGGGGGGTGAGGTTCTTTGCCTCACCTCTGTTGGCCCCCAAATTTTAGACCATCACTAGCAAAAGGGAGGAAGATACAGAAATGCCACGACACCAAGCCAATTGACGGCTCTTTTGGAAAAATTATATCACTGGTGACACCATTCAGCAAAGATAGGCCAGCACTACCACAATTCACTGCACCAACAGATAGTTCACAATGCATACAAGTGATACATAGTCCAGGCAAGTTCTACAAGCAGTTCAAAGCGGAGGAATCTATCAATATGTCCATTTCCTCCCAAAGTAAATCAACTCCTTGATTGAGCATTACTTGTTGAGTTATTATTCATTGATGCATCAGTTTATACAGTTTACTGTGATAGCTATCAAAGAAGCTGTAGTTTGGTTTGTCATTCCTACTCGGCTATGGCTCTCAGCACTCTCTCAAATGTGGACCTTCATACCCTACAGGAAAATCACTTCCTGTGCTTATAAAAAAAAAAAAGACTAACTTTCAGAGTCAGTTTGAGATGATAAGTGGAGATCTTCATTTTTCATACGTACTCCAGATGAATTTTGTGCACTAATGGCTTGAAAAGCCACTAGACTGGAAAAAGTCAAATCTGAAGAGAAAGAACCCATTTCAGTTTATTTTAATTGAATAAAGAAAAAGAATGGAGGCCTGTAATAACCCTGTAAAAATAGAGAGGATGGTACAACTTGATACATATTAAGAAGTAGAATTTTTGGAACATGGTGACATGATTAGCTCTAGGAAAATATGAAAGAGGAAAGTATCAAAGATGACTGTGTTCTGTGATTTGGATGTGGGACGGATGTAAGTGCTATTTTCTTACATTCAAGATAACTCATGTTGGAGTGTGAGGATGTAAGATGCAGTAGAATTAATCCAATATTTAACACAGGGCCTAATATATGGCAGAATTTCAGTAAATACTTACTAAAGGAGAAAAAAAATTTCTTCCCAAAGGATTACCAAGACATTTAGATAAACTTGTCTCCTCAAGTGGCTTATGATATGCCTAAGTCAGAATATTATCTCTCCCTATCATCCTGAATGATGCAAGATATCTGGTGTTTGAAAGAGAAGGGAGTGATGGGATTCAGGCTGTGTGTTTTTATTATCTGTCTACTATATGCCAGACACTGTCTCAGAACTGAAAACAGGCCTTATGCAGGACTCCTAGGATTAAAATTCTTAATTTAAGAACCCTTCCCCCAAAAAGTTCCCATACATTGAAACTTGCAACAGATATGTAACTTGATACAGCTATAATGGTTCAATATTTTGACATGTGTTCTCTAGGAATGAGATTGGTCCTGTTTTACTACCAAAAGGAGAGTAAAAATCACTTTTCTGTACTCTGATCATGAAAACTAATGATCATGAGGAGAAAAGAAAATGCTCCAGAATAGAAATGAAGGATCCCAGATAGATATGTCAACTAAAAAAGAAATTTTAAAAAAACAAAGATAAGTTATATAAGGCCCATTTATTGCTAATTCTAGTGCTGAGACAGTGTCTGGTATATAGTAGATCTTCAATAAAAATACACAGGCTGAATCCCATCAGTCCCTTCTCTTTTTCTTTTAAACATCAGATATCTTGAATTATTCAGGATGATTGGGAAGGATAATATCTTGATTTGTCCTTTTCCCAGGCCATATCATGAACATGAGGCATAAGAAAGTATCCTTTGCTCTCTGCCTTGGTAGTTAAGGTGTAAAAGGAAGGCTATGCTGTTCTAAACACAGTCCTCATCCTAGTATTTCATGTACTCCATTACTAAGTGTGAAATTATTTCAATTTTAGAAATAATTAATTTCACTTTTTAACAAATTATATTAAGTGTTAACAATTCCTAAATGTTGCAAAATTGTAATGTAGGGAATTGGACTACAGAGAGTTTTGTATAGGAGTTTCTGAGGAATCAACCCATATATTCAGATTGGAAAAAAGAAATAAAAGAATGAATTCTCTTAGACATTTTTCAGAACCGTTTGAATTGATTAGAATCATGGCCCCAACTGCTCTACCACGTCATGGTGATGAGGGCTAGGATTTTGTTTTCTTTTCCTATTCAAGCCCTCAATGTATTCTCCTATGGATTTTGTTGAGTTTAAGAAGTATTTGGACTATAGACAGAAGAGGCAAATTCTTTTATTTTGGGACATATTTAACCATTCTTTCTTAACAAAGAAATAGACTCATTAAAACAAGAAGAAGAAGAAGAAAGAAAGCATAAAGAAGTAGTCTCATTAAAGATATCTTATTTTCTCTCTAAAACTATAAATTCTGTGTTGCAAAACTATGTCTTGGAGAAAAATATAATAACAGTATATTTTTGGTTTTCTACCTGCATTTCCCTGCCACCCATGACCATTTATGCCGATTACCATATTAAAGGATTAGGCTACCTAAACATTTGATATATAAAGGAATAGGTAAGAGGAAGTCACATTTGGTGACAATACTTTACTTGATTCTTATGAGTGATTGAATTATAAGTCATCTATTTCCAAAAGAATGTACATAAAATACATAAGAAATAAGTGTCAAGAAAGGCAGAAACCATTAAGGAGAAATTTTTGAAACCAGTGACTATACTATTAGACAATACCTGAGTACATGATATAGGCAATTGTGTTTCTAAGGGTTTTCCATGAGTTAACTTATTTTCATCCTTACCATGGAACTATTAAGAGAAGTTTTTTGTAAAATCCCCATATTCTTGATGAGGAAACTGAAGCATAGAGAATTTAATAATTTGCCTGAGGCCACATGGCTCATAGGTGTTAGAATTGGGATTTGATTTCTCGGAGTCCTGCTGAAATTTACATGCTAATCCAGGATACTATACTGCCTTCCAAACATGGTGACACAACTTTTCTGAACTTCAAGCCAGGAAGGCAAAATTGTTAAAAAATCAGTGGGTGGATTATAATATGTCAAAAAACATCATTAATTGCTGTTGGCACAATATGGGTTTTACAAAATAATGTTTCTCACATCAGCCATCTAAAAGAGAGGCTTAAATAATAACTTTGCGAATATAGATAATATGATTTGAAATGCAGATTTCCTTAAGTGGATAGCATTGGTGATTTATTAATCCCTGTTTTATTTACTTCAGACCATTTGTATCAGTCTGTAATTATCTTGTTTATGTATTTATTTGTCTTGTGTCACAGGCCTCCCCTGCAAGAATGAAAGCAAGTCTTATGTGTTCTTTCTGTTTATCTTCAGAATTTAGCATGGAATCAGGCATAGCTGGTGCTCAAAATTAGTTTTTGTGTAAATTCATGAATGAACGAATCCCATGAATGTGAAGAATTTTGCCTAAGAACATAGCCCCCAACATCCTCAAAATATAAATTATGGCTATGAAAAATCATTATTCTTAAGTAGTTACTAATATAGGGATCTTAACCAGAGTCGAGAAAGCAGTTTGTTGACTTTTTTTCTGTTTTTTTTTCTTCTTTTTAAAATATTTTTATAACTTTATTAATTTACTTTTTTATGTGATGCTGAGGATTGAACCCAGTGCCTCACGAATGCTAGGCAAGCGCTCTTCCACTGAGCTACAACCCCAGCCCCTGGCTCCTCTACTAGAGGAAATATTTTAAGTGATGTTGAGTTTTAGAACTTCTAAAACGGTAATCTTTTGTTATTTCTTTTCCTTTTTAGGAACCCCTTTTCAGTGTTCTAAAAGAGAAAAAGAGGAATCATGTCCATGATTGCAGCTTTCTATGACAACAAGTCCATCCTCATCACTGGGGCCACAGGATTCCTGGGCAAAGTGCTCATGGAGAAGCTGTTCCGCACCAGCCCTGGCCTGAAAGTCATCTACATCCTTGTGAGACCCAAGGCTGGCCAAACCCTGCAGCAAAGGGTTTTCCAGATCCTCAACAGTAAGGTATGCCTCAGGGGAAGATCCCTGTGTGTGGGCAATGCCTTAGGGCACAGTGACTCCCTGCGTGTACCCTTCTAGCTCCAAACTGCATGTGGGGTTAGAATATCTGTGCAGGCAGAGACTAGGAGACACTAAGATAGCAACCGACTGTGGTATTTTCCCAAAAGAGGGAAGAGAGTGCTAGATTCCATCCAGGACGGTGAGGATGTTATCTTATTCTGAAAATTACTGATAGTCAAAACATTAAAACTCCTAGAGTGGATGTTCCTGGCTTGAAATCTGTCAGTCACAAGTTCATCTGAACTCTTTACTGATTTTCATCTAAATTTGAGGTGATTTCCCCACTCCCCAAATGTTGGATATTCAATGATGTCCTCTTCTTTTATATATGAAACAAATATGATAATAAGTAGCCAGACAGTAGTACTTTCAATTATCCAAACAATAAATGATTTAGCTCTTATATCTATGAAAACTTAAATTTTCTATTATCTCATATATTCTTCTAAGTCAAAAACATTGGAAATGAAATATTGTGTTCCTATGAATGAGCATATAGGTAACAAACCCTCACTCTCCTCCAAAAAAATGTTATGTATATTAAATTTCAAGGCAGTGTAGGTTTTGGTCTTTAACACATCTGAGTGCAAATTCTGACTTATCAATTTGTTGTAATTACCTGGTAAACTTCAGATTTGCAATGTTTAAAATAGAAATGACAACAATTATCTACCAAGGAATCAAATGAGAAAATGTACAATGTCTCTCTGGTTTATAGTATCCTTTGGAATTTACAGAATCACCTGGGTTATGCATAAGGAAGATTTAAAGAATTGTTGACAATTTTTTTTGGTTTGTTTTTCAAATTATCTCCAGTGTATGCAAATACTGACACCTAACCAATATATGTATTTGTATATTGAATAGCACAGCCCAGAAACACTGATGATCAAATTTCTTTGCCGGCACCAGGACAGGATTTCAGCATAAACCATTATCCAGTGAACTGGGAAGTTTTCTCCTTATCTCATGGTCTGAGTCCACTGTGGTGCAAATAGTAATAGCTAACATCTACTGTATACTGTTCCAAGGGTTTTTCATGCCATCCCTCCTTTATCTTTGCAAAAATGCTGCGAATGAATAGCCATTAATATCCTCATTTTGTAGGTGGAGATACTAAGGCTTAATGTATTAATTTACCAAAATCCACTCACCTAATATATAAGCAAGTCAGACTTTAAAAGCCCCAGTGTGACTCCATGAGGCCTCCTAACCCACACTGCCTTCATAACTAATGGTTCTTAAGAATAGACCAAAAAGGTGATACGACATAAAAACAAAACCTAGACTAAACTCCCGATCCCTTTTCACAGCTTTACTCAGATATATATATCTCCCCAGTGGACTTTATTTTCATCACGTAGTGGACATACCCTTCATCAATCCACTCAGTTCTGTTGCCATCTAAGCATTTCTAGAGAAATCTTGTGGCAGACAGTCTTGTGGTCAGCACAAGCTTTTTTTTTGCTGCTCCTTTCAAAGCACTGTATTTGATAACCCAGCAACATTAGTGTAATTCTGGAAACCTTGACTATGCTAGGTACAACATCTTGAAACTGCCTTGTAAATCCTCACACTTGTTTCCACTGTTGCTCTATTTGTTATCAGCTGTTACCTTTTCTAAACAATGATCCTCAAAGTGGGGCCCCAAGACCAGGTGCATCACATAATCTGGGAACTGTCAGTAATCATCAGATAGTGCTGAAGACAATGGGCTTCAAAGTCAGGCTGACCTGGGTTTGAATCTCAGCACTGTCAATTAGCTATGTGACATGGGCATGTAGACATAGTGATTTACCACAAATAATAATGTCTGCATGGAAACAAGAACAGAATCTATCACTTGACAATATTTAAAAAAAAAAAAAGCTATTGGTTATGCAAGCACCACTTTCCTGGCACTATCTGGAATCTGTGTAAAAAGTTTCCATGAAAAGAATTATGTACTTGATTTCATTCCTTGGTGTCCCAACACTGTCCACTACATGAATCATTAAGCTTCAGAATATAAGGATGTTATTGCCAACTGCCTGTAGATAAAGCTCTGTGAAAATAAGGAATTACCTAACAAGTAGTTACTGGCCATCTGTGAAATGCAAGGTATTATTGCCCATATTTACTTTGAAACTGAAAATTTGAAATAAAGACAAGTAAGCTAAGATTATGTTTCTTAAATTACATAGATTTTTTTTGTTTGTTTGTTTGTTTGTTTTCTGGTACTTGGGATTGAACCCAGGGATATTTTACCACTGAGCTACATCCCAGCCCTTGTTTTTTTTTTTTTTTTTTTTTTTTGAGACAGGGTCCCACTGAGCTGCTTAGGGCTTTGCTAAATTGCTGAAACTGGCCTTGAACTTGTGATCTGACTCAGGCTCTCCAGTTGCTGGGATTACAGGCATGCATCATTGCATGCACCCAGCCCAATGATCTGCTTTTTAATGAAGAGGAAAAAAAAATCTCTATATTAATTTTAACCTTCCAGATTAAAAAAAATGATGTTAGAATAAAAATAAAACTATTTCCAGATGTTTCCATTTAACTTGCTATCTAGAATTATTTAGAGGACACATTCCTATCTTTGAAATTATTTTTTTCACTTGTTGTCTAGATCTGTGCTATTCAATGTAGTACCTATTAGCCAGTGACTATTTTATTGGCAGAGCAGGTAGAAAATATTTCTATTATTATGGAAAGTTTTATCAGATAGCATTTTTATAGATGATTTAGCATCTTGTAGAGTAAGACTATATTGTCATCCAGATTTGCATGCAGAAATTTATTGAAGTGCTTACCATGTGCCACTAGTTGGTGAGGTAAAAAGAAAATTGAAGACAAAAATTACATAGTCAAGTGAAGTCTTAGAGCAGACATGTAAGAAATATGCTGAGGCCAGATTCTGAAACACTTGAATAATTGAAATTGGCCTAAAAACCAAAAGTATGGATTATATGATGAAAAGTCCAAGACTAGAGTGGTGAACAACTGTGACTTAACCAGAGCTCTGGCTGCCTCCATCTGTGTCTCCAGCTCTGCCATTTTGTTGTAGCTTGATGCCCTTAGGAATGAGATGGTTGCTGTGGTTTCAGGCTTCACACATACATATATGGCAATCTTTGAATGATAAGAGGTGGCTTTCTCTTGGGTCTCCCAAGATTGATGATGCTTCTTTTCTAGAAAACCTCAGTGACTGTCCCTCACCTCTCATCTGTCAGGGCAGAGTTGCATGTCCATTTCTAGCCAACCCCTGTGACCTGAGGTGTGCCATGGGTTGATATGTTCAGAAACCTCTGAGGTAAGACAATCACTGTTCAGAGATAAGTGTCTCTAGGTCAGTCAGACTTTCCCTGAAGGTGAGATCATCTTCTAAAGCACAGTAGCTACTGAAGAATGGAGAATACCTGCATAATAATGATAATTGAGACTTTCTGAGAGGTGGAAGAGAGATAAATATCCTCAGTAGTGTCAGGAGATAAATATCCCGAGTAGCACATTGTTCCTGAAGCCAGACAGAGTTGGCATCAGCTCTCCACCACTGAGCAATGTGACTTTAGGTAACCAAACCTCAGGTTCCACATTGAAACAATAATAGTCATTATCTTTTGAATTATGGTAAGATGTAAATGAATTAATATTGGAAAGGCACTTAGAATTGTGCCTGGACCCTAGGAAGGACTTAGCTTTCCATATTTTTAATCAAATGTGGGGGAGAATTTTGCTCTGCTTTTATAGCATGGCACTCCAACTAAGGGCCGATTTATTTATTTATTTATGTGGTCCTCTGCCAGTGAGATGATTTCTAATAATAATAATAATAATAATGTACTCAAGTTATGCTGGTGAGGATGGGAAAGATATATGTGAGATCTGTGGTGAGTTCAATTAGTTAAATTAAACTGAAATCATATGGCTCACAAAGATGAGAGTATTTACTGTGCAGCCCTTTATGGAAGTTTGCCAACTCCTGGCATAGGGAATCAGAAAAATGCCTTCTGATGCAGAACAAATAAACATATTAGGTAAAATGTGTTTTTATAAAATAATCTGAATGCACGGCTGAGCTACAGACAAAGGAGATTCGTAGAAGTTCAAAATGAAAAGAAAGTTTCTGGAAGCAGTCAAACAAGCATGTGAATCTGGCCAATATATTTCAAGAGCCAAGTACATGCCAAGCACTTTGCCCTGTGCCAGAGGAAAAGTGGGGACAAAGTGATAAATAAAACAGACTTGGTGATTGACCTCAACGATAGTCCAGTGAAATAGACGTTTTGTAAGAAATAAATATATATGTAAGGATTTTGAAAAGCCTTACAAGAAAAAGAAGAGAGAGAGAGATCAATAACAAGGACATGCTTCAAAATCATGTGTCTAGAAGAAGACTCAGAGGTGGTGTCAACAAAGCTCATAAGAGTTGAGTGTGTTCAATAACATGTAAGAGAGTGATTATAACTATTAGGAGATCTTATTTGGCATGAATTGAGAAGGCTCCCTTTCCCTGTGGTTTAGTAGGGTCCTTAAATAGCCTCCAAATCTATTCTCTGGAAGGAACCCTCTTTTCCATCACTCTTTTGTGGCCAACGGCTTCACCTTTTGGAAGGTCCTTCCTTGTCTCCTATCCACTGACTGTACCTCTGAAGTGGCTGTCGGGTATACTCGTCTCCATGTCTTCACACCTTCACAACTCATTCTGCAACAGTAAGTGTGGGAACCAATGGATGTTTTCAGGTTTAAAGTTATTTGTTTCTTGAGCCTAGGTCTAGAACCAAGTAAAAAGAAATCCCTGATTCAGGCACACAGTATGACAGCTTGTTGCACATGAAAGATATGAGAGAATTGATTAAGGAAGAGATGAAAGGAAGAAGTAGTGTGTGTTAGGTACACAATCATCTAAACACTGGCAAAAAAATGAAATTAATTAAGCTTGTTCATTCAACAAATATTGGTTG